TATATATATATATATATATATATATATGACATACGTACGAGTCAACCACGAAATTCAAGGTTCCGAAGGCGAGTGTAGTGTGTGGAACGGAGCGGCGCAACGGTTCGAGGAGTCCGTGCAAACTTCACTGTGTGTGACATCACGCTTCATTGTTGGAGGTTTACGTCATTCCCCGAGTCCGCGGCGCTTTGAGACGACGGACGAGTGCACGCACGCCGCACGCACGCACGCACGCTTGTACGCATGCACGCATGCAGAGACAATCTCTCCTCGTCGTGGGAAAGACAACAAGCGATAAAATGTCACCCACCCTGTCGTTGCTGATTTGAGTGTGAGTCGAATCTCTCGCACAGCCGCTCCAGTGCCCGTCGTGTGTAAAACGGAAAGAAGGCGTTCCGCGTTTACGGAGGTGTCACGTACGAACGTTTGTTCGCGAATGCTGCCCGAAGAAGATCAAAAAGATCACTTGGTGTCTTCGTAAAAAAAAAAAAAGAAACGTTATTCTCGTTCGGGTATGTCAGCGCTCGACGTGTCGAAGTCGAAATAACCGCTTGAGTTCCTCGCTCGGTGCCGTGGAGAGAGATACGGAGATTTTTTATATTTTATATTCGAGAGCGAGATCCGCAATCCGCGCGCGCGGCGTCGAATGACTTCCGCGCAATTTGACGCCGCGTGACTTCGTCATTGCTCGCATCGCGTCGCGCATCGTCGACGGCGGGCTAGCCCGGTGAAGAATGTCATCGACCATCGTCCACCATCTCTTCTAGCGTCAGACAGTGCTCGCACGACGACGACGACGGCCACCGGCGCGCCTCTCTTTCATTTTAAATATAACAGTGTATAAATAAGTATGAGCAATAGCGAGAGTGCGCGGCGAGGCTCCTCGCGTCGCCACCGCCGTTGATTTTTCTTCCGTCCGTGCGCGCGTTGTTTATCAACGCGCTCTGCGCGTCAGACAGAGATAGATGTATGTAGGGGAATGAGCGAATGAGAGCGAAAGCGAGATAAACGAGTGGTGCGCGTCGTCTCGTCGGATCCACTTGGAAATTCGTAACTTGTAACTTTTCCACTGTACGTACGTGTTCGCTCCACGGTGGTCCTTGCGCGAGGACACGCGACATCGAACACCATAAAGGTTAGTGTACGCGACATTTGTTTCGACACTTCGTCCCGACACTCGATCCCGCGCGACTTCTCTCCTTTGCCGAGTCGTAAACATGGGCTACGTTCCGATATTTACCGTCAGTACTGAAAATCTATAATTTACGTTGCGTACACTATAGATTTTCAGTATTGGCAGTGAATATCGGAACGCAGTCGAGGACGATAAGTGACAGAAAATATGACAGGGAAGGAGGGCAGATGCCCGTTTAATGAATATCGCTATTTCGATAGAGTTTCTCCGATTGAAAGTTCGTAGTGTTGAAAGTGACTCAAAATAGGTTTCGTTCGATTAAACAATGCTGTTCGAGGTTTGTGTTTGAGCATTGTGACTCGACGTGCGTCGACGTTCACGCCTATTACCTTCCTTTTTCTACCGATCGCTAAGAAAAAAAAGTGATAGACGTGAACACTAGCCACTAGCGAATTCGATTGGATGCACTCAGTGCGCAGTCACAAGCCGTCGTACATACATACACAAATCAACGTAAAATGTACGTTTAATATAAACGGGTTAAATCACGAAATTCTCAATATTCTTTATTGTGCTATTTGGTAAAATATATATTGGGCATTTTTTCAGTCGAGATATTTGTATTTTACTTTAAAGATAAGAGGTTAAATCAGTGTACAACGCACTGAAATATATACATATTGGAACGTGTGCTGGCGTTGAAACGCGAGGGAAGAATAGATGCTGTCAAAGGGTTCACGCTGTGAGCGTGAATCGGACCGCAGCCCTTGTCGTACACTGGCATGCGTACAAAGTTAGAAAAAGACAGGTGGAAGCGTTGAAAAAGCCTTGTGTCCACGATGCTAGAAATCACTCCAAGATCTCGGACGGAGAAAGAATTAACCAATCGCATTGGTTAATTGCCGAATTGTTTAAATATGATTGGTCAATTTTTTGTTCGTCCACAAGACAGTATTGTGCGTTAGGGCCTGAGCAGAATAAACTAATTATTAAGACAATGTTGTATGCTTTATATCTTTGTTTTTAGCAACGCTACTTACTGTCTTGTGTTTCAAGTCACGAGTGTACGAAGTGTCAACATTTGTAAGACTTTTGAGACGCAAGACAGTATTATGCGTTACTAAAAACAAAGGTTTAAAGTATAAAACATTGTTTTAAAATTATAAGTCAGCCAAGCTATTCTGCTCAGGCCTTAAGAGTCTATCCTTCCCTCGTTTTCCGTTTAGCTGTAGCATAGGCAGTGCGCGTTCCAGTATGTATATTTCAGTGGTGCAACGGCTTTAATATGCACCAGTGCGCACTGAGTGCATCCAATCGAATTCGCTATAATACACATCGAGTCAATGCTCAGAATTACAAATCTTGGTCAGCACTAGATTAAAAGATTATTGAGCCAACTTTATCTGCATCAATAATCTTAAATAATTCTTGATATTGAATTTTCTGAGAAAAATAGATTTAATCGTTCGACGACGACGAGCTCATGTGATATCCGATTGTTTCTACCCCTTTCGTAAAGAAACGACAAGGAGGTGACACGAGAATGTGGTTGCGTAGTATGTATGTATACACAAGCGTCCGTCAGTCATTATATATATATATTCTGTGCCGTCAGTCGCGATTTTGAGAGACGGTGGCACTGGTGATCTGCTGACAGGGGCATTCGACCTTTTACAACTTTGTACAACTCTCTGTGACGCGGAGAGAAGATTGTCACTTTTTTTTCACATAAAACAAGTTATTCGTATGACTCAATGAATCATTTGTTATTAATTAGGAATTACGTGAGATATGATTCTGTGACGGTGTGCGTTTCTCGAGATTTTAGTGAGTAATCGCGATATATTGTGATTTGACAGAACATCAATACAATTATTAACCTTTCTCACTCCCTCTACCTCTCCTCTTCTCTTCTCTATTTCTACCTCTTTCTATTTCTCTCTCTCCCTCCCTCTCCCTCTTCCTCTCCCTCACCCTCACCCTCTCTCTCACTCATAAATAAATATAGGTAGATATGTTAAGGTAATTTGTTCGTAACAATACTGTCAAAAAATTAATGACCGACAAATGACATGTAGTATTTGGCTAGGATTGTCCGCGTTATTCATGTGTGTGTAAGAATCTCATGTGTACATATATAGAAACTAATGTGTGTATTAGAGATTAGGATCACTTTAAAATTAACTTCAAAGGTTAGCTGTCATATGCGTCCATCGCTAAGAATCAATTACTTCGAAACTAAACGGTCAAAGGTCTTGTATTTTTGTAAGTGTATTTTTACACAAGTCTCTTCTATCGTCTTCTTGTTTTTCATAAAAGTTGCCAGAGTAGTTTGATACTACAATTAGAAACGTAGTATCGGAAGCCGTTTTCATACCTGTAATACATGTAAAAAGTACTAACTTTGATTTCAATTATCTCAACTTCGGTACGGTCAATTTTTTTCTAATTGCACAGGTGTGTAAATCGTGTTTACATTAATATACTGTTCAAATTTTATGAGGTTTTCCAGAAAATGAGTTTACGGACTAACTACCTTAAACATTTTCTTTGTATTGTATTCACAGATGGGCTTGATGAACCATTTTTAACGAGAAGAGTCCAGAATAAATTTTTGTTTTTGATAGGAAGCATTTAATGCACTGGCATGTCTAACCAAAATGTCATCAAGGTTAATTATAATTATTATATTTAAAATTGAAGATAATTGTTAATTATTTATTATATTGTATATTATATAGATACTATAAAGTATATTTCTTACTTAACAAAATTGTTTTGTTTGCCTCAGTTACACAAACCTAATTTATATATATTTTTTATAGGAAAGCTTGAAAATCCTTATTGAGAGGAACATAAATACGTATTTTCAGAAGTAGGCATTTAAATCACCGCATAGTTTTAAATGATGAGGAATATTTATCGCCAGATAATAATTGAGCATAAACTTAACGATCACCAGTATCTCCAGTGTAAGTGTGATAAATTTTTTTCTTATCTACATTTAATTGTTATTTAATCAACGATGCCGACACAGAGAAAAAGGAGAATCACTTGCTGTTTCAGATACAAGAAATATACGTGATGCTGTTACTTCCAAACTGCTTGCAGCTGTGCAAAAAGCTGCGGCATGATGCTGAAGATTGTCCTGATTATACCGATGCCTGTATAATGTTAGAAGAATTCTGCATATTTGCTGCAGAACTGGCACGTCTGTGCGAGCGAGGGTAACATAAAAACTTTAAAATATATTGACAGGTTTGACTTTGTTAGGTACTTCTCAGCATTTTTTAAGACATCACATATAATTTTCTTATGCAATAACTTTCTTTCCTTGCAAGCTAAGTTATTATTTGCGCTAAAATAAATCAAAGTTTTTTCTACGTATCTTTGATTAATCATCATCAGGTGAACGGAAATCTATATGTTTCAGGCAAAAATATTGAACATTTAATCATGATTATAGTAGGGATATTTAAAAACAATGATGAAACGCAACGCGATGTCTGTCGTAACAAAATTATTTGATATTTGGAAGTACGTTCAGTTACAAAACGATTAATCCATGCTACTGTTTAGTATGTTATATTATCACACTCTGATGAAATTTTATGATATTTAACATTGATATTATTGATGCTTTTTTGCTGTTATAGAGACTGATACATTTTTATGATCTGGAATAACTGTCATTTTTATTACCATAAAAAATTATCAAATATTTATTGCGTAGCTTTGAAATACGTTTTTTAATACGGTATCTTCTAAGTGCATACGTGAGTCTGTCACGTTTAACGCTATTTTTCCCTACCTTAAAGTATTTTAAAAAGTCTAAAAAAATTCATGAAACATCTGTCTACATTGTAGTTGAAGATTTTATAGTCATTTTGATAAACATCGTTTATTTAATATCTTCTGACAGGCTTCTGACTTGCAAGTTTTACAGTTACGAGCAGATATCACTTTGGTTCGGACGCCGTAGACCCACGTATGCACCTTACGGGTTAATAATATTGTTAACGTACTTATCTTCCGAAGCATTATGATAACCGTTTACAGGATATTTATTCAAATTGTAGAAACAATTTTTCTTATTTTCCAGGCATTTTCGTTCAAATTTTCAGACAAAATTCAAACATTTTTATATTAAAATTTAAAATTTGATTACCTAGAATGCTTAGTTATTTCTTATTGATGCAGAATATTCATATGATTCATGTTGAAAAGACTAGAATTATTTGTTTCAAATATTAAAATAATAAGAAGAAATAGAGGAAAACGAGCAAAAATGATGATTTGGGTTTATTTTATTTTTCGAAATCTGCAATCTTTTGTATTGATATATTTCGATATTTCGATGCCAAATCCTTTATTTGTAGCATTTATTTGAAATAAATAATTGCAAAGAATATGAGCTAATGACGTGAAATAATAAAGCATTTTCTTATAATATTACATTTTTAGATTTTTATGTAGCTTTTTCTTGGAAAATACTAAAATTTTTTTTATAATCTTTTCAGGAATAAATGGACTATTTGATTGTTTGATTTTTAAAAATTATAATTTTATCAAAAATTATAAGCAAAGTTGCAAAAAAAAGAATACACTAGTGGAAATGGAAAATAGAATATCAAGAACACTTTATGACACTCGATATGTCATTTGTACGGTCGAGCACGGTGCATGATAAAAAAAGACAAGATCGTACAACATATGGAAATCTTTATTGGGGGTACCTTACATGTACATTAGTAGTGAATACATCAGCCCTTCATAGTGTTCTTTTTCCACCAGTGTATATTACTTTCAAAATTAAATATTATTTATTTAGATTATTTCATAATTATAAAATTTAAGAAGAGTTGATTTAAAAAAGAACATTAATCGAAATGTAGGTTTGCAATTACATCTTCCCAAATGTTTTTCCAGGTAGTAGATATCTTGATTTATGTTTTCATACAAAAAAATTGTAAAATGTATTTATAATGGTTATGTGCGGTCAAAGTAGTGATGGTTGCCAAACTGAAAAAAGTTTATTCCTAATCATATAATTTCGTGAGTCAGTGTATATACACAGGCTTATATGCACAGTCGAATAGAATAATCATTTAAATATTATCATTTAAACATAGTCTTGCAAATTTAAGTCACTATATATATTTGTCGAGTGTGATAATACTGGATCGGTATATGAATTAAAAGATTGAGATTATACTACATACATTTATTCATATTTACCTGTAGAACAGCAACTGTTCCTATGAACACCTCTTGCTCATTACACGGTGATGGAAAAGGCATTAATCACAAAACTGGCTCAAGTAAGTCAACAAACAATGTTCGCGGAACACCGTTCAATTGTGTCGATGAGGCAACTTCATTATTTACTTATTTATCGATTAATTGCTTAGAGAGGATGGCATATGAGGTATTTTTGGGCGGGTCTTGTAATCCAACTACCTGGAGATCAGACATAGCGATACCGACTCTTCAGAACCTTGGCATTACTTATTATAATCCTGTAAGTAGTTTATCTTCCTTGTTTTTTGTTCATAATTGCATGTGAGATATCGTAATTGGATTATGTATCGCAGCAAGTGTCACAATGGGGTCCGGAATTAATAGCTCAAGAGTACGAGGCAAAGCAGACGGCGCGAGTCTTGTTGTTTGTCATTGACAACCAAACACGCAATAGCGCGGGCATCATCGAAGCAGCTCAACTGGCAGCTACACGTAGCGAGTCCTTGGTTCTTGTCATTTATCCGTATCGTCAGGGACAGACTATACTCGGAGAGACTGTTTCCACGCAGTACGTGTTGTTTCAAACAGATTAATCGGTTTAATGCTTTCATTTGATTGCTATGTTTTTTCTCTTATCAGTACATATTTTATTTTTCAGGGAATATTATGATTTGATGAACGGCTTGTTAGTGCTTCAGTACCTAATGGAAAGGCAAAGGATACCAATATTCAAAAGCGTATCAGTTGCTCTTCACTGTACGTCCAAGGTAATGACTCTAATTAATAAACGAATGCATCAAAATTAATGATTAATATACATACATATATATATATAATGTGTATATATATATATATATATATATATATATATATATATATATATATGATATACATATAGATGTTACGTGAAAAGATCAACGTGCAGGATTGCATGAGCACTGAGGATGGCATTAGACCTATAAGAATCTCGCTTACTCAGAATGGAATGGATGCAGTGTAAGTTTCTAATTGCCTGTCTATATTATATGTAAATATATGTAAGATAATTTAACAATATCTTGATATAAACAGTAAGATGTAATAAGAATTAAAACAAACAATTGTTGATCAATAACATATTCGGAAATGTTTAATTTCGAAAATATCACGTCGTGTTTGATGTCTGAAAGTTATGAAATTAAAATCATATTAAATAGATTAATAAACAATGCTAGTTTTTATTTGTAATAATTTAATAAAAAAAAACAGTTTAATAAGATATTTGGAAAGAGTAACACAAATTGTATTCTTTGGGATTGTTCATGTTTAAGCGATTACTTAGTAACAAGTAATAGGGCGGCAGTGTGGTCTAGTGGTAGAGCGCCAGACTTGTAATCTGAGGAACCAGGTTCGAGTCCACTAGAGCCATGTAAGTATGGAATGTTTTTCCGATAGCTGCGCCCCTCCGTGCAAGATAGGCTCTTGTGCGGAGAAAACTGGGCTCCGTCTTTCGGAAAGAGACGTTAAGCCGTTGGTCCAAAGGGTTAAAGTGAGAGGAGAAGGATAGCAGATTGGATAGTAGATTGGTAGTAGATTGCGAACCCTACGGGGATATGCAATAAATTACGAATTTTATAGTAACAAGTAATAATTTGACATTACAGCCATCAACTCTGATACATAGAGATTGATGTGTTTCTATAGCACTTATTCTCAATGTTTAGTTACTAAGGCGTCTAAAGAAGTCGGCTATAGGAGACGGTAATTTCTGAGCTTTAGATAGTAATAAGATGTATTCGGTAAATAACATGGCATTTAAATAAGTTTACTGATCATATTCTTGAAAGTTTGAATGTGGACATTGTTGATCAAAGTGCTGCGTAAGATATGCGAGATATATGTGTAAGAATATTTCATATATTTTTTTATTTGATATCTAGGTATTCCGAACAAGAATATAGTTAAGCAAGAATTGTTTGTTTTAGTTCTTTTTATCTCCTCTCTAAAAGTTTCTCTGAATGTTTCTAAATCGGCATGTGTAAAAATATATCATGTAGGAATAACATAAAGAGCATTTACAAATGATTTATAAAGAAATTTTATTTACATGTTAGAAAATTGCGGGAAATTTTCAAATCTATAGACGTTGATGATAGTGGCACAGTAAAGTTAGGGGAAGTATGTACATTTTATCACATCAAATATTTTGAAAAATTCATCAAAGTCAATACAATTTCTTTTTATTTCCAGGCCTGGATAATGTTGCAGTCGAACACAATGTGCAACAATGTGTCTCTTTCGGATCTGCTCAACACGGTGAATAAGTCCGGTAATGTTTGCGTATCATATCTTATGGCGTTTGACAGATTTGTGTTTTGACAAAAATAAACTATTAAAGTACGATGTGTTCGCCACGCAGAAATCTACAGAACATTGATAGACGGATTTCCGGTGAAAGGTGACCCAACTGAATTGCGAATCAATTTCGAGCAGTTTTGCGTTCTAGCCAGCGAGTCATTGTGGACGCGGACGAAGAGTAATGGCATCTCTTGTGAAAGTGAGATACCTTCAGTATGGAATATATTATGTAGGAAGACCTCAAATTTCTTGCGACGAGTTATCGTACATCCTTTTAATCACTTCCTAGGTATTTCTGATTTTCAACAATTTCCCACGATCTTCGATATATTCACTGTCTATATATACTTCTTGCCACCTGAACTTTTCATTTTCTCACTTCCCAAGATTGAGCGCTCGATTTCATCTATTTCGTAGAGCAGGTAAAAAACGGAGCTTGCGTTCAGCTATGAAGGATTTAAACCTTTTCAGATTGGACTAATTCCTTTGTCCAAGAGTTCGAGAAGAGGGACATTTATATTGGCGTTGTCAGTAAAGATCTGTTTTGGTTAGAATCTTCCGCAGTACCGTTGATAGAGTGAGTATCAGTAGTAGCCTAATGATGATCACTTCTCCACCAGTTAAACGTGGTCTTCTTTCCCATTTACGATCTTCCAGGTCAATGAGATTGTCTTTGCACCGACCTAGCCTGAATGAGTACAACGTAAGAGTATTGCCGCAGGAATTGCAGAAGATAAAGAATTCACGACTGATCTTGTTGATAGTGCCGCAGCATTCGCGCGGCATCGCCATCATGGCATTGGCAGCTCATTTGATTGGACTGCGCGTTAAGCTCGTCCTCTGTGTTCAAACTCTTCCCGAGGGTTCTATTGTGTCTGATGACCAAGTACGACTGATATATTTTATATCCCCCCTCCCTTTAATACACAAATCACATCAAATAAACAAACAATTACTATAATATATAATGAATATAATGAATAACAAGTCTATTAACAATAACTCAACGCAGATTTATCGAATTACTTAAGACTAACAATAAAAGATCATCTTTGGCAAATTAAGCTTCAAGTGTCGTATAATATGTAAAGTAGCAGTTAATAGAAATTAACTTCCATGTATTATTGAAAAGTTGTGCGACCTATAATACATATTAATTTACACTAGGCATTTGTAGGAAAACAATTTTTTTTCACTACTATAATAGTGATGTGATATATCGTTCTTTTCTTTTGATTTATTTAGTTGACTGAACAAGCCCGAAAAGATTACAACCGGGGGAGGATGTACCTGTCGGACTACGCAACGCGTGAAGGTGTACCTGTTTTTCAGAATATCGCTGATGCTCTGCAACATGCGATACAATTAGTTCAAAGTCCTTGTTGACTTAATTGCTCTTTACTGGTTTTTTTTCTATCTTTTTTCATACAGATAAGTTCATTGGTTCGATAAACTAATTTATTTTTATCCTTAACAATGTCCAGCTACCATTTGAGATCGACGCGAACACTATAGATATAACGATGATGCTGTATTGTTGTTATATTTATAATAAGCGATTGTTAGTTATAGCAATTATTAGCTGCTTTTGCTAATAAGATTGCTTCTTTTCATTATGTCTCTCATTAGCAATGTCTCATCGACATATAGTTCTCGCGTGCTATTTTCCATTAACAATGTCACTTATACGTATAGTATTATTACTATTATCGTTTTTTAAGTTCTTGACAAAGTTAAAACACACGCAATCAAGACTTTTTATTTACGTCAAGATATTTTATTTATTGTTACTATTTGTCGTGAGCACAGCATTTCTGAAGCAATTATTTTTACTTTGTTGACCGTATTACGTATGGTCCTTTTATTTTTTATTTTATCTTTAAAAAAATACGTTTTATATTGGCTAATGAGTGTCGAGCAGCTAATTATTTTATTATTACTTGGTTATTTTTTTATTACTATGTTCTTCTCTTATCGAATGACGTTAAACTCTTATATAAATTATTGTAGATCAGTAGGAAAGCAGTCTCTCACGGTAGATGGACATATACGATCTTTCTCTCTCGTTTTTTTATAGCAATTTGACGTTCGCAATTTTTTGTAATGTTTTGGTAACGTGGTTGAGGATTGATTTGATATACCTGCATATAAAACTCATAATTCTCTAACGATCTAATCAAATTATTAACTTTTGGAATTTGATCGCTGAAAAATGCGAGAGGGAGGATGTCGTGTGGGATTTGCTTGTATTTTGAATGCGTGGTGTGTATCTCGGCTGAGTATGTGTATGTATATCGATATGTATGCGTGGGATATATCATGAATTTGCATTGTTTGATGTATTTCAATAACCGCAAATATCAAATTTCAACTGTCGATGATAATTTCAATAAGCCGAATTATGTCTTATACAAATCAGTGTGTAACATATGAGTGAATAAGTGAATGAAAGAAAAAAAAGAACATAGGCAAGAACGAGATGTTTTAAGCTATTGACTGATGGCAGAGAACGAAACGTAGCTCTTACGTCTATCGTAGTCATAGACATAAAACAAGGCAGAGAACACTGTATGTATACGTAACTACGTAAACGTAAAGTCATCGTGTCGATACGTGACGATACGAACGTTAGTTACGTATACGGTTTTCTCTGCCTTGCTGTACGTCTATGACTACGATAGACGTAAAAGAGCCTACGTTTCGTTCTCTGCCATCAGCCATTCAATATCTGCGGATTACTCAAAATCTTGCTAAGAGATTTCATCGTTTGAAGGAACAAATGAGAAAAAGGAAGTAGCTCAAGAGAAAAATCGTTTATTATATTTTTTGCATAAATATATACACTCGTACACACGTATCTTACCAAACATTCTCTTTTTGAAATAAAACAACTGTTATCGGTTCTCACATGTTTTCTTTCTGCATTTTTGTTTTCGCACGAAATATTGATACATCTGTTGTGTGCGACAGCTAGTAAGAAATTGTTAGAACTGTGCTCGTATTTAACGATCGTCAAGATTATGTGATCCTAAATTTATGTTGCATCCAAATTATATTAAAGATACTCGAAATACGATACGTTTAATGCTATAACGCGTGAATAAAAGCTTAGATAGTAGCCCCCGCTTGAAATTATATTTTTGTTATCGTAACACATTACCTTTCAATTCAAATAATTTTAAACGAGCAATCGACTGTATGAATGTAATACCAGTCAGAATAAGTGACTTTTACTCGGTTTTCGATCTACTGTCCTCGTCATTTTTACTTTCTCTAAGATCTACCATTTTTTCTGTATTATCCTTTCCAGGGAAGTAGTACCTTCGTATATTCTTGAGCGACAACAACACCGGTATCATAGCCGGTAGAAATAGGGGAATGTATACAGCGTACCTGTAATATTTCAGAATTATTATTTGTAATGTAATTTAAAAAAATATATGCTAAATTTTCGTAATGCATTCTATTAATTTTATACGAATATAAGTATACAAGACCATCTAACAAGGTAATCCACGGAAGTGTCCCTCTCCGATTTTCATGAGCTTTTATTATGTATTATGTTTTTTCTCTAGATAAAAATAAGATACATGTATTTTTTTATACGTGCCTATTCAGCCAATGCGCGTGTTTAGGACAGTGGCGGATTTGCCCTATACACTACGCTGAAGTGTAGGGCGGCAGATTTTTAAGTGCGGCGAGATTGTAATTTTTCTTTCAAAATTTGGTGAGCATATGGAAGTGGTAGGTAGTTTATATCATTCCGAAAAATGTTGAAAAACTGAATAATACCTACTGTGAAAATTGATTAATCGGATAGCACAGAATTAAGAAATGTTTTATTGTTTAATTTTTTATATTCTGCGAAAACTTTAATTCGAAGGAATACAGGGGAACGGCGAGTAGTACGGAATATTCGATATTTCTTGTATTATCCGATAAATTGTTTCACTCCAAGTGACTACACGTGATAAGTTGACTTCGTTACTATAACATAAAGGGGGTAAAGGTTGTTACAACAGGCTATCTATGGATGTATCGGATAATACAAGAAGTATCGAGTGTCCCATACTATCCAATGTCCCATACTCGCCATTCTCCTAGAGATTACCGTTAAAATTCATAAACAAACTGATCGAACATAAACGAATCATAATTGTGCAGCGCATTTACATACACAAGAGCACATCGTGTGCTACATTCCCAGGACAGGGTTTAAGTTCGTATGGAGCTTCGCGCTTCGCTGATTGCTCCATGTAAAAATGCAAAAAAAAAAAAAAAACATTTTGATAACATATATTGATAAAATACATTTCTTTGAGACAACTTTTTTATTAGTTCCATTCTAATATACATATTAAATATTATAGAAATAGTTAATAATAAAACAGTTCAAAAAATGAGTTGATAATTAAAACTTATCTAATACCAAGTTTGAGGGGCGGCAAAATTTCAAATGTGTAGAGCGGCACGTTTGATAAATCCGTCACTGGTTTAGGGGGTGAAACACCCCTTTGAAAAAAATCGGTTTTTCTCTTTCGGGCCAAATATCTCCGAAACTATAAAAGATAGAAAATAAATTTTTAAACAAGTTGAATGGTTTAAAGAGCACTTTAGAATAATGACAAAATAGTTTATTTTTATTAAAAAATAAAAATTAAAAAAAATTTTTTGCCATTATTTTAAAGTACTCTTTAAATTATTCAACTTTCGTTTAAAAAGTTTTTTTCTATTATTTATATTTATAGTTTCGGTGATATTCGGCTCGAAAGAGAAAAGCCGATTTTTTTCAGAGGAGTGTTTAACCCCCTAAACACGCGTATGGACACGTATAAAAAAATATCTGTCCCTTATTTTCATCTAGAGAACAACATACTAAAAGCTCATCAAAATTAAAAAGGGATACTTCCGTGGGTTTCCTTGTAAAAGTTTCTTAATTTTTTAAAAAGAAAACACGATGCACACAATTTTTTGTAGTACGTACTTTTTACGAAATATTTTTTAATCTATTTTTTCTAATTAAGGTATGATATTTTTAACATGATTTATTCCTCTCTAGTCATTTTATATAATTTTATATAAATATATTTTGTAAAATATCCATGTTTTTTTGAAAATTTAGCTATACTCCGTCAGGCGTACAAACAAGAAAAAGTACAGCGGCCTCTCTAGCGAGGAAGAACATAAACATAAAAACTGAACCTAGATAGGCAAATTCACTAGAACGAACAGTCAGACATAAAACGCAGGCGCACTGAGTTTTAAAGAACACAAAGACATTTTTAATATATTGCCAGAGAGAAACCTGAGAGCGGCCATCCGGCTTCGGGGGACGTCTGTCCTAATCTGCCCTCTGAGAAAGTGGACGTCAACTACGGCGTTACGCTCGGTAACGATCAGAGAGGACTCGGGTAACGATACATGGGTTTGTATCCATGCTATGGTTCGTGTCCGAACTACTCAGATGGAGGGGATATGCTGGTCGCGCAAGCCCCTCCTCTGTCCGTGTATGTATGTATGTACATACACTAGGCACTCGGCAAGCTTCGAGCGGGGAGAGAAGGGCAGACATACAATCTGCTGTCTCTCTTGAGCTGTGACGTTGCCGCTTTGCACGGGCCGGCTATACCACGATGTCACGCATTTCGGGTATCACGTCTCGTGTCGCCGAGCGCCGAGTCTCGAGTTGCATGACAAATCGACGATACGCTATACCTGCTATACGTTACACATTTACTTGTATATTTACAAATTTTAACTTTTATATTTATAACCAAATAAATAAAAAAAAAATATATATATATATATATATGTATATATATTTAAAATTTATAAATATATAAAGATTGCAAATATAATTAATTAAATAAATATTTATAAACATAAAAACTAAAATTCGTAAATGTAATGTATAGAAATCACCGTTTTATGCTTTTCTATCTAAAAAAGTCTTACATTAAAAACCTTTACTTTGCATAATAAATTTTAAATTTAATATTTAAATGCATACCAATAATTATATTATTAACTATATTGAGAAAAAAATGGTAGTTTATAATGTTTCTTGCACTCTTATTAAATTTATTTTACCTATGCATGTTCAAGCGGCCAAATTACGAGCAACAACAGAAGGATAATTGGATAAAAATAAAAACACTTTCTTAAATAAACAATACACATGGGTAACAGTGAATTCTATTATAATTCTCGTATAGTTCTGAACGTGTTCTAACGTTTATTTCTAAAGAGTTCTGACGATAAGCATTATTTATTCATATTTTAAATAATTTTTATCGCCCAAGAAAGACTCATTTACGGGTATGTGGGTGAGACGCTGTAGAAAATCTCGGAATTCTGGCTTATATAAAATATTTTTCGTACATGCAGTTCTAAGCATACTAAAACAATTTCTAAAGAGTTCCGGGCATTGGCAATGTTGTATAATTTTTAAATAAATTAATAACGCACAAAAGTCAGGAATTTATCGAGAATAGGGTCTTTCTCGAGCGATAAGAATTATTTAAAAAATAAATAAATAATGCTTATTGCCAGAATAAAATGGGACAACGTTAGAACACGTTCAGAACTACACGAGAATTATAGCAGAACTCACAGAACTGTCGAAATACGGCCAGCGTCTCACCTTATTTTCGATAAATTCCTGATTTTCGAGCGGTATTAATTTATTTAAAAATTATACAACGTAGCTAATGTTTGCTAAAGTTAATAAACATATATATACAACGTAGCTAGTGGCGGGAACTCTTTAGAAAATGCTTTAGTATGCTCAGAACTATACGAAAAATATTTTATATAAGCCAAAACTCCGAGATTTCGCACAGCGTCTCATCTTCTTCTGTCATGATTACTTTTCGGTTAATATTAATTTTTTTAAATATAACACAAAGATTCTAACGCTTGGAACTCTTTAGAAAATGTTTCAATATGCTCAAAACTACTCGAAAAATATTTTACATAAACCGGAACTCCGAGATTTCAACTGGCGTCTCAACTGGTATACTCGTTGCATTGTAATTTTTTTTTAGTACCTTATAATTAATTTTTTTGCTTTTATATGGCAGAACTCTTTATAGAACTGTTATAGAACTATAGATCTTGCAAAATCTGATGAGATAAACTCTTTATATATATATGTTTATTAACTTTAGCAATACAGCCAGAAAGTGGACTTGGTTTACATCAATCCTTAATCACTCATACTCGCATTCAATCCACGCATACACAAATATCCAAAATCCTATTATAGAACTATAGATCTTGCAAAATCTGATGAGATACAGTGGTGGAACTTGTGTAGGACAAAATGAAACGCTGCGTGAACATAGCGTCTCAGTTTGTACTGACGCATTTTTTGAAAGAAGCCAGAACTCTCAATAATTTGTGAGTTTCTGCAAAATGAGACGATAGCTTCACACACACGTTAGGAAGAGAATGTATATAAAGAATTATTAACGGAGATATTTTAATTTAAAAGATCATTAAAATATATATTTTTCAGGAATGTTTTATAGAGAAACGAAGAAAGTGAATAACGTTAAACTTTGCATGTTTTCTCTTCACTTTATTTTAAAAGCCTGATCTACAATGTGCTCTTTGCTTTCTGTTTTTTGCTCTTAACCTCTTCGCGACTATCTCGTATTTCGCAATTCCGTCGCGTAACGTGATGTTTCTTGTCTCTTCTGAAGTTCGTCAATTTTTATCTTGGGCGACAGAGAACAAAAAACATCGCGTTACGCGACGCAATTGCGAAATACGGGATAGTCGCAAATAGGTTAAGAGCAAAAAACAGGAAGCAAAGAGCACATTGTAGATCAGGCTTAAAAATTTATTTTTATTTTTTAAGTAACAAAAATGCTCTTTTTTCTGTTATATTCTGGTCACTATAAATGACAGACGAAGTAAATAATTCTAGCTGTTTTAGGTATCTGAAACGCAAAAAGCTAAAATTTTCTTATTCTGCAAAAGTGTAGCTATCGTCTGAACTAGAACTAAATCAATATTTCCATTCTGAGCGGCTTTTTTATTTAAAATATTATAACTTTTTTCAAAATTTTATTAGTAATTTATTTTAAAAAAATGTTTATTCTAGTATTCTAGTTCAGACGATAGCCCATATCACTTATTCTGAATAAGAAAATTTTTGGTTTTTACGTTTCTGATACCTAGAACAGCTAGAATCATTTACTTCGTCTCTCATACTTACGTCTTTTAGTGATTAAGTTATAATATAAAAGTAACAAAAAAGAATATTTTTCTTACTTAAAAAATAAAAATAGATTTCTAAAATAAGATTAAAAGAACATGCAAAGTTTAACGTTATACGCTTTCTTCGTTCCCCTATAAAAAATTCGATTTTCCGGAGAACGTCCTTAAGATCTTTCAAACCAGAATACGCTCTTGTAATTTATTATTTGTCATTAACATATTTTATTATTA